TTTTTTTTTTGAGATGGAGTCTTGCTCTGTCACCCAGGCTGGAATGCATAGGCACAATCTCGGCTCACTGCAACCTCCAACCCTGGGGTTCAAGCGAATCTCCTGCCTCAGCCTCCCAAGTAGCTGGGATTACAGGCGTGTGCTACCATGCCTGGCTAATTTTTGTATTTTTAGTAGAGACGGGTTTTCACCATGTTGTCCAGGCCGGTCTCAAACTCCTGACCTCAGGTGATCCACCTGCCTCAGCCTCCCAAAGTGCTGGGATTACAGGCGTGAGCCACCGCGCCTGGCCGCAAACAACTTAAAACATAATGAAAGACACAGAAGGGCTAAGGAAGATCCATCCTTTGGTGCTGTGCTCTACAGTCTTGTAGTAACCCTCCACAGGAATGGCTTACAACACACGTGACAGTTTTGCAAATCTGTATGGTCACAGATGTAAGCAACATTGAAACATGGTAAAAACATAAGCTGCTTAGCCATTTACACAGAACTGACAAAGTTGATTACACCATAAATACCTTAGCACCTTAAGAGTCTCTTTCCACTCCTTCTGAAGACTTTCCCATGTATCGACTTCCACCCATTTGGAATTCTTGGTGGCAAGTTCTGCCATGATGACCCGGTGATACGCAGGAATGAGTCCTTTCTTCTTGTAGGCATCACCAACAGGAGAGATGATGCCTTTGACAACTGTGTATCTTCCTGGATAAAGAGTTAGGTTTCACACTAGGTATAACAAATTCAATTTTATACACGATCAATATTATTTGTTTTGTTTTGTTTGTTGAGACAGAGTCTTGCTCTGTTCCCCAGGCTGCACTGGCGTGATCTCGGCTCACTGCAACCTCTGCCTCCTAGGTCGAAGCGATTCTGACTCAGCCTCCCAAGCAGCTGGGATTACAGGCGCGCATCACCATGCTGGCTGATTTTTGTATTTTTAGTAGAGACGGGGTTTTTACCATGTTAGCCAAGAGGTCTCCAACTCCTGACCTCAAGTGATCTGCCTGCCTCAGCCTCCCAAAGTGCTGGGACTACAGGCATGGTCACCATGCCTGGCCAATATTGTTTTATAATCACAGATTCTCTTTCTTTAGGGATTTCAGCTTATTAGCTGAATGATCAATTAATTGACTGAAATTATGGTAAAATAAACCCGAGTGTACAGTTCTATGATATTAAGTACAAACACGCTGTTGTGCAACCATTGCTCCTATCCATCTCCAGAATTTTCTCATCTTCCCCAACTGGAACTCTGTACCTCACCTCATTCCCCTATACAGTTAAATTTCTATTGATATTGCCAAATTGCTTTGTAAAAAGCCTTAATTTGTATTGTCTACCTAGATGTATGCAAAAGCCTATTTCTCAATGTCATAGGCAAATAGTGAGCTTTAGCAGCCATCCATCCATCTACCTATCAGCATATTATATGATCACTTATGTAACAAAAAAATCGAGGCCAGGTGTGGTGGCTCACATCTGTAATCCCAGTGCTTTGGGAGACCGAGGCAGAAGAATCACTTGAGCCCAGGAGCTCAACACCAACATGGGCAAAATAGTGGGACCCAGTTTCTACAAAAAATTTAAAAATTAGCCAGATGTAGTGGCATGCCTGTAGTCATAGCTACTTAGGAGCCTGAGGCAGGCGGCTCACTTGAGCCCGGGA